TATGAGAATAGTGAGTTGAAGGTTGGCAGTGGCTGTCAGCAGGGCCAGGAGGGAAGGCTTTGGGGCTGGGGCTTCGGGGCTGGAGCAGGTAGGCCCAAATGCATCAGGTCGGCCCAGTGAGCACGAGGTCCTTGGGAACTGACAGGGCTATGCTTCAGAACCACCAGGTTCCAGGAGTCTGGATGGCTACTGCGAAATTCTGTGCTTTCGGTTCATTCCAGAAACGATTATGTGCAAGGGACCCTGGGGTAAGCCTGCGTGCCCAGGCCATGAGGCCTGACCTCACTGGTTCGCATCTCGGGCAGCTCTTCCCACCTCTCAGCCCAGCCCCTTACCCCATCCTCCCAGGAGGCCTTGTGTGTTTGTGTTTTGAGGCAGGGTCTAAGCTTTGTAGCTCAGGCTGGCCCAAGACTCAAAGCCCTCCCTCCCGCATTGGTCTCTGGAGAGCAGGCATCCCACACCCCAGCAAAACCAGTTTGGACTCAGGAGGATGCAGAGAAGGAGAATGTGTTGAGGTTAGAAGGGCCAGGGGAGGTGGATGGCCCAGAGAGAGGAAGAGAGCAGAATGAGGGGGAAGGGGAAAGAGCTAGTACTCCCAGCAGGCCTGAAAGCTTGCTTCCCAGCGGCTTCTGTGAGAGGAACCGCAGCCAGCATGCACACAGGCAGACTCACGCACATGCACCCGCATGCACACCCCCCACCCCCCAGCAGAGAGCTGTGCAGTGAGAAGCCAAGCAAAGACAGGCGTCCAGGATGGAAGATGAACGACACTCCCACGCCTGGCATTGGCTGCTGAGACCCAGGCTCTGAGAAGGGGCTGGGGGAGCGGGCCGCAGGCTGACACCTTAATTACCGTCCTCATCACTGGCAATAACTGGCAATAATGGGAGGAGTGACTTATTTTCGCTTTTCCTTCTGCACCTAGAGGAGCTTCAGCCACCCACCAGGTGGTCCACCTTTCTCCTCACGGGTCGCTCAGGACCTCCGGCCTCTGGGGTCAGCTGATTTGACCTGTCTTCCATTCCCTTTCCATCCAGAGCTCTGCTCCAGGTTCCCAGAGGATCCCGGGCTGTCCACACTTCCTGGGAAGGGACCTCAAGTCTCTACTTAGAAGGCAGAGTGAGTCATTGTTAATTGCTGACCAGGGATAGAGCAGGTGGCCTCCCAGTGATGGGGCAGTCAGTCCAGCGGCCCCCAAATGCCTGATGCTTATTAGAGGGTGGCATGGATGTGTCTCAAGACGGTGCTTAGCAGGCTGGGGTCTGGGCGGGTGTTGTAGGATTGATTTTGGTCTCATTTCTCAGGGGAATGTCACGTGGGCCTTCAGGGGGAATTGGGCACAGAAGGAAGGGCCAGAGGCCAGCCTGTCACTCAGGTCCCATGGAAAGGCTCAGACCACCCCTTACCCAGCACCGAGTATCTGATTCCCCTATGGGCTTTCCCCTATGTGCCCAGGTCCTGCTCTCTGGCACGTACCCTGATCCTTCATGCCCTCCTGTCCTGGGTGGATCTCGGTGTGGACCCTGACTCTCCACCTTCCCTGGGGTCAGCACACTCCCAATTCCAATCTTGTCATGAGGGCACGGGAAAGGCCCAGGATTGCTGTATATATCAGCCAACAAAACCACACAGAAAGTAGGACAGACTTTCTTCTGGCATGTTCTCTAGGCTATCCCATCTCCGGGGGCTCTTGGCCTCGGACACTGAGTGCATTCTGACTCTCTCTGGCGTCTCTTCTGAGTGCTTCTTGTGTAGGAAGGATTACATGCACTCTGTTCACGGCGTGGAAGCTCCCAGATCCAGCTAAGCTGAGGATGAGCAGGGCAGGACTCAGCTGTGGCAGGGACCCAGTGCTCAGGGCTTAGGCCCATCCTTTTAGTGGTTATTTAAGTTTGCTTTTGTTTGCTTCTCCCCGCCCCTCTGAGACAGGGTTTCTCTGTGTAGTCCAGGCTGGCCTTGAACTCACGGAGATCCGCCTGCCTCTGCCTCCCGAGAGCTGGGATTAAAGGCGTGTGCCGCCGCCGCCGCCGCCGCCGCCGCCGCCGCCACCACCACCACCACCGCCCTGCTCTGTCCATTTATGTTTTAAGTGAAATTTTTTCTTCTTTTATGTACGTTCTTTGGCGATGCTGGGCCTTAAACCCAGGGCCCCGGGGTTCACCTCTGAGCTGCATCCCCAGGCCTCTGTCACCTCCTAGGTAATCTTCATACAGAGAGCGCATCTCCGAGGCAAGAATCAGTCTTTACGTCGTCACTCAGCCATCGGTGTCTGTGTAGGTGGTGGTGTGGCGCAGGTACTGGAGTACAGGATTAGGTGTGTTCAGCTGAAAACCTGCTGATGGAGAGAGCCCATTTCCCTCCTGGACTAGTGACAGTGAGAATCGTGAATGTCCCGGGTACCGAGGAGCCTGAGTTCCTGATGCCCAGAGCCGGTGTTACAGGGGCTGTGAGCCGCTCAGTGTGTGCACTGGGAACTGGGTCGGGAGCAGCAGGAGATGTTCTCAACCGCCAAGCCTCTCTCTCTCTCTCTCTCTCTCTCTCTCTCTCTCTCTCTCTCTCTCTCTCTCT